CAAAATGGGTGTTTCGTAACAAACTCGATGAAAATGGAGTAATCACTAGAAACAAAGCTAGGCTTGTAGCTAAAGGCTACAATCAAGAAGAAGGCATTGACTATGAAGAAACTTATGCACCGATTGCACGTTTAGAAGCTATTCGTTTATTACTTGCATTTGCATCTACGATGGTTTTTAAGCTTTATCAAATGGATGTTAAAAGTGCCTTCCTTAATGGTATCATTCAAGAGGAAGTGTATGTCGAACAACCCCCGGGTTTTGAAGACTATGAGTTTCCCGAACATGTCTTCAAACTCAAAAAGGCGCTTTACGGTCTCAAACAAGCACCTCGTGCTTGGTATGAACGGTGATATGCACATATTTTATACACTTTTTAGACATATTTTGAAGGAGTTTTGAGTCCCAATTGAATTTAATATTTATATTTTGTTCCAATTTTCCGTTTTATTTTGGTAGAGCAGTCCTATGCTTGGTTTTATATGTTTTGCAGGCATTTTGAGGTCATTTGGATGCATTTAGGATAATTGCAAGGACGGAAAATAAACATGGAAGTTTGGGACCAAAATAAATGAAGAAACTTGAAGGAATGAAGGAATCAAACAAAAATAAAGCATAAAACAGCCCCTGGGATTCGAACTCTGGACGTGCGGCATGTGGAACCGGAGCTTTGACCATCGCGCCGAACCTGATTATTCGGCATATCACAGGCGAACAGGGTTAATGTTCTTAACTGAAAGTCGGCCATTGATCCAGAGAGAAAAATGACAAAACAGTGAACGGTGGGAAGCTTCGAACACGGGTGACAAGGCAAGACAACCAGCTGCATTTCCATGTGCGTTACTGTAGCTGTATTGACTGGAATTGTAACTGTTCGTATATACTCCGTATATACGATTTTATCTATAAAATCACATCTCCTCTCTTCTCTTAGGAGGTTGGAACCCCCATTTTCTTCCTTCTCTCTAATCCGAAATTCTCCTCCTCCATCACTAATATCTCACCACTTTCTTCATCCAAACACATAAAAATTACTCCATCTTCATCATCATTTATCATATTTGGAGCTCAAGAACACATCTTCCATTTTGTAAGATTTTTATTATTGTAATAAATATTTATTTGTTTAAGCTTCAAACTATGAATTTCTAAATTCCATTGGGGTTAGAAGTTGGTGTAATTAATTGTCCATCTTAATGTTTTGAATATTTTTAACATGGATTGTTGATTTTATTTTTACTTAGATGTTGTATTTAAAAATAAATAAATTTGAAATGTTTGTGATTTTTAATTAAGGGCCCAATCATAAACATAATTGTTA